GGGGGGGGGGGGGGGGATCGGGAAAGGTCCACGAGCCGGGACTCGAACACGGGACGCCCGAAACGCAATGGCACTACATGTCGACGCGCTGCCCACGAGGTTATCGTGCATCAGTGTTATTTTTAATATCAGAGATACTATTATAATTACATATACTGAACATATATATATATACATATATATATATACACACACATTTGAACTTACACTTTCTGTTTTCATTTCAATTTTAGTTAAAATTCTGATAAATCTGTTGTGTTCGTCATTTTTTTAGTTTAAGTTTTTAATGTCTATATGGTCAAGGTTAACTAAATATTTTAGTACATCAAGTTAAACTAAATGAAAATTAGCTCAATTCGCTGAAATAAAATAATTTGACTTTTTTTTTTATGTTTATTTTTAAGTAAAACATTTTTTTATGGTTTTAGTTTTAGTTAACTATAGTAACACTGTTATGGATGCATGGCAATAGCTGAACGTTTAGTTTTTTTATATACAAAAAAATAAAATACAGTATCATTGTTGGTAATAAATAAATAAAGTCAATCGAACCTATCATTGACAAAGGTCCATGCCATCTGCACAAGCTTCTGAACTTTGTTCTTGTCACCTGTAAAATTAATCAATGAGATGAGCAACATCACAAAGCAGCACTACGAAAGAAATCAACTTGATTCAACATTTCTTAAATTCAAAATGAAACTTTAAACTCTGTCTTAAACCTAGTAATACCTTTGAGCTGTTTAGCATAGCGCAGCAGAAACTGGTAGGGGTGCTCAACTTGTAAATCAAACTTGATTGTCTGAAGTAAAATTCTTTCCAAGACCATGACCTCTTCCTGTGGAGTCATTCCATGAAACACAGCGATGTTTAACACAGCAGGATCATCACAAGCATGAGAATGTGTGTGTTGAATGGGTTGCGAACCTTTGGATCATCTCCAAACTGTGCAAACTGCACGTCATTGAGCAGACTGCGGGTCGTTTTAATGATGTCTTTACACTTCTTGGGGGTTTCTTCCACTTTACCAGCCAAGAAAAGACAACAAGCCCCAGTCACCTGAAATGTAAATTGATTAATGTGATTCAATTTACAGTGTGCTGCATGCTACGGCAGCAAACATTTTCACATAGACACGGTGTTTAATCAGTCCTTTTATTCCCCCTCCTGCCACAACAGAAATACTTTCTCACCATTTAAAAACTAGTGCTGTCAAACGATTAATCGCATCCAAAATAAGTTTGTTTACATATTATATGTATGTGTACAATGTTCATTTATTATGTACATATAAATACAAAAACATACAGTATATTTTTTTTAATGTTTATAT